AAAGGTTACTTATCGTACGTTACGCGAGATATTGAATTGTGGAGCGACAGAGTCGCAATCTTCCGAACCCAACACTAGTTACTAAAAAAGAATTTGTGGTCGGAATGATTTTTACTTTTTTAGTTCATTTAATGAAGAACTTTCCATAACAAGAATTGTAGGTTATGATTTTATAACAAATATAAATTATATATTTTATTAATTTATTCACGATATTTACACAAAAAATTTCTACTGAATATATATTTATATTCAGAATATTGCCCGCCAGACATTTAGAATAATTTCTTCATTAAAATGAGTAATACTTGTCAAAGCTATGATACTAGACATCATTATCAAAATGCAGGTAAAGACGATAACCATAAGGCATCGATCCGCTCTCAAGAATCTGTTGATATGTCCCTCATTGCTCAAATAACTTCTGAGACGGCATCAATCATCAATATGGAGTTGGAGTTGAAAAGGATGAACATAAGGCATTCATTTATTATCAAAAATTTGCAGATATGGGGAATGCTAGTGGAACATATAATGTTGGAAATTGTTATCGTAATGGAATTGGAGTCGAAAATGATGAACATAAGGCATCAAAAATCTGCAGATATGGGGAATACTAGTGGAACATTTAATGTTGAATATAGTTATCAAAATGGAATTGGAGTTAAAAAGAATGAACATAAGATAAGGCATTCATTTATTATCAAAAATCTGCAGATATGGGGAATACTAGTGGAACATTTAATGTTGGATATTGTTATCAAAATGGAATTGGAGTAACAAGAGACTTAAAAAAAGCTAAAGAATGGTACCAGTTGTAAGTTATTTTTATACAGCTACAATAAGATTATATATTTCTTTTTAATAAATGTAATTAAACTAAATTATTAGAGAACGGAAACAAATATCATTAAAATAATTCACGATAATTTAATTTTCGTTAGTAACGAACAAGCGAATATACGAAAATTTAGATATTGATGATAATATAAAAGGGATACTTACTGAAAGCTAATATCCATTTTCTTGAATTCCTTATAACAAATTTGAAAATATACAAAAAATAGGGCAGGGTGGATTCTCAACAGTCTATCATGCTAGATGGAGACATAAACAAAATCAGTCTGACGTTATAATAGCTGTTGCACTTAAATTGCTTCATAAATCAAAAGAAAATTATGAAGAATTTGTAAAAGAGGTAAATGGATTTATGTGCAGACATGTTGAAAATTAACGATTTATATTTTAACAAATTATTTTTAATATTAAAGTTAAAAGCATATTGTGATATTGGCAATAAAAACCCAACATTTTTAAAGTGCTATGGAATATCGAAAGACGATATTTCTAAGAACTATATTCTTGTTATGCAAATAGTAAAGGGTTTCTTTACGTGGCAAACTTGTCTCTGTATCACAAGATGAATGGAAAGATAAATTAACTTTGTTACATTGTATTGCTTCTGATCTTCAAATAATCCATTCTCAAGAACTTATTCATCGAGATTTACATAGTGGAAATGTTTTATTAAGTAGTTTAAGCAGTGCATATATTGCAGACTTAGAACTTTCAAAACAAATAAACGTAAACTCAAGGATAGAACCTGATGAAATTTGTGGAATTTTATCATATATAGTACCAGAAATTATTGATCCAGAAGTTATTGATCCAGAAGTTGAAAATAGAAAACCATATACCGAAGCATTTGATATTTATTCGTTTGGCATCATTATGTGGGAAATTTTATATGGAACACCAGTGAATGCATTTTATAACAAATTATTTGGCTCGCATTTGCATGAGAAAATAGTACTCGATAAATTAAGGCCACCAATTTTTGAAGAAATATTCAAAGAAATTTTTGAATATACAGAAACGTGTTATGTTAATTTAATGAAAAATATTGGAATGAAGAACCGGAAAGACGTCCATCCGCAGACAAAGTCGTAGAAGCTTTTACAAAATGGCAAAATGATGAACAAATCTTATTAGAATTATCCAATTCCAGTAAAATATTTCATATAATAAAACAAATAACAAGAGAAGAGATTATTTGTTCTGATGAAATTTATTCTGATAAAATTTTGTATTCTGATAAAATTTACTCTGATTTAGCAAGTGAATTAATTCTGTTTAAACCTCTTACGAAGGATTCGTGAATCTATTTAAATTAAAATAAATTATATAACTATTTCTCTGGTTTAATATACTTAATGCAGTTTAATGTCTTTTATTAATAAGTGACGTACAATATATTGTAGTTAGAATTCTGTAAAATTCTATTTAAATAAAATAACTAACAATCCTCCACTTATTCGAAGAAATTTAAATTTTTGGTAAACTTTGAATACTTCTGTCACATTTAAAACTTTTAACTTTTATTTGAAAAAAATAAAAAGCAAACGTGTAATAACATAAGATCATACAAAATTTATGAAAATTGTTTTCGTAACATAAATTTTAAGAGACTAGAATCCTACTTTTAATTATATCTTATAGATATAGTGAAATTTCAATCTTTTTTAACATCTAGCCGGCCTGATTATGAGAACTAGTACGCTAATTTTTGCTAATTTTTATGGCTTTTTATTGGTGGTCCAAAAGTTTTAAATATGCTTACAATAATTCCCATGAACTATTAATTTTTTTAAAAAAAGTTGGCAAATAAGCTAATTTTCATGAACACGGAAATAAAATTTTCCAAATTTTGGTATCTAATAAAGATTATAATATTTGTTATACCGTTATAATTATATTAAGTGATCAAACTAAAGCAATAGAATACATACTTAGCAAATTTTGATACTATATCTAGTTTTTTAAGAAAAAAAAATTTTTTTTAAAAAACATTCGAATATTTTTTTACAGTACTGTCATACGTAGAAAATTTTTTATCCAAATTTGTCGTGTTCCTTCAAGAAAAGTTATGAACCCAAAATTTGGGTAAAATCTGTTTTAAGAATTTTAATTAACGTTAATGCACGTCTTGTAATCCAAATATTAACAGGTAAGGATGGCAAAAGTTTTTTATTACATAATGATGATTTATACATTCACATCCAGATTTAACTATTCATCACCTGTTTTAAATCTGTAAAAACAAAATGTTTCAAACTTTTTGCCCAGGTTTACGGACTATATTTATACTATTAATAAAATTTTTTGGATAACTTTCGGTTGCTGTATACGAACGTATACGTATCGATACGCAGTACTGTACAGAATAAGAAATTAAATGAGATGAAATACTTTGATTAATGAAATAACAGTATACTTTTACTACCCGAAGTTTTGGGGTCATGATCAGCTTTGTGTAATCCTTAAAGAATATCGATATGCTAATAGCCGATCAATCCGTACGGATAAGGATTTAATCATATGGCAATCTGGGTGATCCGGATGTGAACGGATCGCATTTCTAGATTTCACTAATATAATTTGGTCATTAAAAATTCGTGTAACTGGATTCACCAAATTGTATGAAGTGACTTTGTCCCAAATGTCAATCTGGCCCAAACTATCAACCTAAGCAAATTAATTTAGGCCAGTTATTTAGATAAATTTAGTAAATTAACGTCTCGATTGACAAATTTACATTGGGGCATAACATATACAAACATGCGCGCCACACGAATAAATATCAACAATCGTGGGGAGAAAAGTGTATGCGCTTATTTGTGCAAGTGATATATATAAATTTATATATAAATTTGATCAACTTGACACAAATTTGACGCGTGCAAAACGAAAAAGAAAGAAAAGTGCTAAAAATTGGAGAAAATGAACATTTAAGTCGTACGTATAAGGAAATTAATCATTTTTTAAAATTTAACTTAATTTCTAATTTTACACACATTTTCCGTTTCTAGATTTTTGTATGGATACGCAATAAATTGATCGGTTTAACTTGCAGATCCGGCACGCAAAAAAAGGGAAAAAATGTTGGAAAGAAAACTTTACATGTGACAATACCAACCCTAATGCTAGACTCTAACTTTTAATGTATACCGATACCAAATATATTTAAACTGATGGCGGCATTCATAATTTACTCAATGATTTATTTGATTTACCATCGATTACCTAATATTATAATAATTACATCCCTTATTAAGTGTAATCAACATTGATAATCTTACGTACATACGTGTTATATCGGTAGGGGGCCTTGTTTACAAACTTGCTTAATTCGTCTAGCTGAGCCATTCTGATGGGCGGTGTTGATTGTTACATAATATCTCGTTTTCTAGATAAAGGTCCACGCCAAATTTTTTTTTAGAGATTTTTAGTGTCGATCCTTTTTATGTAACTTAATATTTGATTTGAACTTCCGAGAAACTTAATATTATACACTTTTAAACCTTCTTAAAAGTTCATGTTTTATTCGTTTTTTTTTCAATTACGTTTATTCAATATTGTTATATGATTGTTGTATGATTTTTAAACAAATTAATATCACTTAACCTGGTAAAGAAACTTAAGAAAAATGTCGATACAAACTTTTAATGAAAAAACGAAGTCACCACTGTCTTCGGGACTTAAGAATTACATTGCTGAACGACAAATTGGTAAGCGGATGCATTCTTCTCATTGGTTTTTTTTGATTTGATTTGTTTTTTTTAATATTATTTAATCCTGTTCAATCATATCATTTTATTCTTCCATTCTTCAACTCTTCAAACATATTAACTCTTCAAACATATTAATTGTAACAAATTTTTGTTCATTATACTTTTAGAACTGCCTTTAAAAATAATAGGCGCAATTTTGGTTTCTTATTTTTTGGCTCCAGACCCACAAAATCCTTTTTCAAAGTTCCTTTTTATCTCATACCCTATATACAAATCTGAATCTGATGGGTCAGTTCTTTATGGAAAAGGATATTGGGATTTGGCTTACATTGCTTTTTGGGTGGTAAATTTTACTTTAATCAGAGAGTGTATTATGTGGTACATATTAAGACCTTTGGCAATATGGGGTGGAATTAAAAGCTCAAGAAAAATAAACAGATTTATGGAGCAAGGTTATGTTACTATATATTATATCATAGCTGCCTCGTTTGGTTTGGTAAGTAATCGATCAAAATTATCATATTTCATTATTATACTTCATGATCATTTTCTTAAAAAATTTTGCTTCAAAAAAAACGCATTATATGATGAATTATTTATGTACTTTATTTCAAATATATTCGACTTAAAAAACAATCATAAATATTTACCTCTTTAGATTATAATGAACAATAGTCCATACTCGTTTTATGAAACAAGACACCTTTGGATTGGTTATCCTCATTATAAAATGACATATCTTTTAAAGTCTTATTACCTCATTCAATTCTCTTTTTGGCTTCAACAAATTGTGGTCTTAGTCCTGCAACTTGAGAAACCTCGTAAAGACCTTTTACAATTAATTGCTCATCATATTATCACTATTTTGTTGATTGGTGGTAGTTACATATCAAATTTTACAAGAACTGGAAATACAGTATTTATTACAATGGATGCTTCGGATATTTGGTTAGGGGTAAGTGATAATAAACTTGTTAAATTTCAATGTCAACTCTATCTGAATAGATCAATTTTATGATGAATTTTGACTTAAATATCCTTTGATCAAAATCAATTGGTGATCCTCGAATCATAGACAGATTAAGAAATGGTAGTCATTTGCTAATCTAATTATTTTATTTTTTATATGACTACTTTTGGTGTTCCTCATTATTTATCAATTATTAGCTGTCAAAATGTTTGAAATACTTGTCTTTTCCTGGTTACGTTACCAACGCAATGTTTATATTTTTCATGATAATATGGATATACAATCGACATTATTTATATGGGATAATCACCTATGCTCTTTGGGCTGATTCCTGTCTTCCTGAAAACAACGAGTGTATTTGGGATCCGTTAAATGGATATTGGCTTACATGGTGGTCAAAATATATTATTTTACTAGGAATGACTCTTTTACAAATCTTAATGATTTATTGGTTTACTCTTATCTTGAAAATTGTGTGGAAAGTTATTAATGGGAAAAATGCCGAAGATACTAGAAGTGATACTGAAAAGTAAGTCATCTATTTGTATTAAATTATCTTAATTGTATATTAAATTATCTTAATTGTAATTTTTTTAAATCTATTTTTAATCTTATTATTTTTAGTGAGGATGAGAGTAATATTTCAAAAAAAACTGATTAAAGTTGAAAATTACAAAATTTTTACAAAAAAAGAAAAATTAATGATTTTAAATCAGTTATAAGTTTTATAATTATTTATTTATATATATCATTTATGCATTTGGGTATTAATGTTTTGCATACATTTAAAAAATATATTTATTCTTTCTGAATACAGTCTACCCTCGTTATAACTTAGTGATAATATCAGCTATAGCTTTATATAATAATAAAAATTTTAAATTGTTCCAGAGAATTACTTCGTTATAATAAGGTATCCACTATAACGGAGTCCGTTATAACTAGGATAGACTGTATCTACGAAAGATGTGTAAATGGATTGTATTTTTTTTTTTTTTTTTGTATAATATTAATAATAAATATCGCGGTTGATGTTAAGATTGGATGATGCTATGAATTTAACTTATTTTAATAAGAAATTTTAATATTATGTATTTTTTTTTAGTTTTGGTTAGGATTTAGGATTAAAGTTTATTAATAAAAGAGAATATGTGGATTTTGGTTGGTTTGGTAAAGTTAAGTAGGGATCCAAATCTCAGCATCAGTCGCGACAGTAACTTCTTGGATTATTGTATTCATGAAAATTATTTTTTTTCTAAAAAAATAATTTTTATAAGATATCAAATAAGGTTATCATCACTTAATAAATAATTTATTGAATACTGAAAGCATGTGGAAGATAGTAAGTTTGTAGAGATTGTATTAATGTTATTAATAAGGGTATATTTAGATTTTAGTAGCGTAGGTTTAATATATTTAAATCATGGTTGGGCCGGGCCTATACATATTGATATCGTAGAAATACTTCCAAAAATATTTTGGCATCGATATTTTTGTAATTCATTCCGCAATCTAAAACTAAAATCGAAACTTATAATGTATGCCATAACCTAAATTAAAACCTGCAACTTTGATATTATAAACATAGAATGGTTAGTTATAATTATATAGAAATATATTGTTATATGTAATTATTAACAATGATTACAGTTTATATTATTTATCACATTAAAATATTTAATAAGATGTAATAGTAAATGCTCAAATATTAACCTATTTACTAAAGCACCAACATCAAATTTTGGTCTTCAATAAGTTTAAAACTTATCATTATTTAGAATATTAATAATTTACTTTCAACATGAATATTATCTCTTTGGATTTCTTCTAATATAGAAAGTTCTTTTCTAATTTCATTTATTGTACGTATCTTCATAAATAAGATTGCATCTAATATTTTCTTCATAATTTATCTAATTTGTTTAATTTTATATTTGGTATAGTATAAATAAGTTTGAGTATTAATATTTGAAACATACGCACGCACCGATTTTGCTTCACTCAATCAGAATTGTGAATTATCAAAAAAAAAAAAGATTGCGAAGGGAGTTCTCATAAAAATAATTGGTTAAACTTTGAATCCATAATTAAGTATGTAGAATATTATAAAGTCTACATGTTTAATTATCCCTTAAACTGTATGGTGTATACGCCGCTAAAATTTTTCGAATGCATTTATTTCAAATCCTATTAGATCTTACCCAATTTCCTAAGCTTAAATAAAAGAACATTATATGCTAAATACCATACAATTTCTATTTTACGAGGACTCCTAATTATTACCCCCAAAATCAATTAAAATCAATTATTTCTTATGAATCTATTTAGTATTTACCGGAGGTGAAATTCACAACGATATGGTTTTAAACTTAAGCGTTAGAGTTTAAAGCTTAAATTAGAGGTTAGGATTTTTTAAGATGCTGAACATTTTTACTTAGTACAACAAATATCGATAATCAAAGCCGTCTTGGTGAATATTAAAATCGGCCATTTCTTATTAATTGTAATAACACTTTTATGACAAAAATATAATATTAAAAAGGAAACCTGCACGTAACAATTATGAAGATTCACTAAGATCGTCACATAGTTGATCGAAATTCTCTATGATCAACTTTGTGTAAATAATTTTTGAATCAAGACTATGGAGATAGGATGGTTCTAAGGTTCGAGTTACGCAACATACTTCACAGCCATCGTATAAATTTATGCCTTTTATTCAGATCGTGTCGAGTATGCTACACTACAACTGTGGAGTGTATCATGTGGTTCAAACCCCTGAGAGTCATCAAACCAATTAGAATAAAAAATTTCAATAGAAAAAAATATTTTTTATAGGTTTATTTTCTTTCAATAATTTTAGTATACGTACAAATATGTATGCTAAAATTTACGGTTAAGGAATAGATTAAAATTTTCATCGTCTTAAAAGTTTTACTTCTGTATTCGCCTCCCCTACTATTTAACCGATAGATCAAGTCCGAATATGATAATAAAAATATTGATTTCAGACAATTAAATTGAATTACGTAACTTAGTATGTGTGATTATGTGAGTTTTAATTCGAGCTTATTATGTTTATAATCATGCATGCCAATATCTGCACGAAATAAGGTATACTTGTCCATTTATCCGAATGATCCACCTTGCTTAAATTTATTTGCTGACATGAAATATTTAATAGATTTATATCTATAATGATATTTTGATTAACAACACTGCATTTTAATACACATAATAAAATAATTTACATTAAAATTTATCTCTTTGGACTTTATAATATTTATAAAATGGAAAGCACATATTTTACAACTTTGGTTCATCTTTGTCGAATTAAGAAACCAATTATTTTATTTCAAAATAATAAAAAAACATGTGTTTTGAGTGTTTATATCGTATAAATGACAGCAGAAAAAGAAATCGGAATATTTGCAAGAGAATATACAGTATAATCAGAAGTGCTTGAACACATGGTTTATGAAAAAACTCAAACATTGAAGAAGAAAATAATACGCATATGATCCTGAGATTGTTTTAGATATTATTAAAATAATTAATGAATTAGAAAAAGTAAGTTAAATTTCTTAAAAAGATGTATACGAAATATATATATACGAGGATGAAGAATCAAGCATTGAAGATGGTAATTCGAATTAGAAAATTTTAAAGAAATGCAAGAGAGATCTTTATGATATAAGTATTTTGTTTATTAGTTACTATATTTAAATGAATACGCAATGTAGATATTATAATCGGGTTGGGTTGCTCGCGGCTAACCGGATAACTCACGTAATCAAATACCCACCAAGGGCTGCCTTGACAAGCGATTGTTAATCTTTTTACCATGCAGATCTAAAATTTTAAATGTAATTTCACTAATCACAGTTGAAAATTACATGCTTATTAGATATAAAAAATTAATGAAAATCGACTCAAAATCAAATTACTTAATTAATAGCCTACTCGGGTACAACGGGTAAAATTGTCTACTCAGATATATCTGACGATCACCCGGTTAACTGTCAGGTTTGACCAAGTACAATCACTACGTAATGCAATGATGTTATTATTGTTTCATTATCTTAAAAGAGTAGAGCGAATATCTGGCTATTCATTTTGTCCGTTCACCATAACTTTTTTGTGACAAACACACTATACAGCGCAGTATATTATAAATAATAGTAAAAAATATATATATTAATTGATAATCTGTTTTCGAATGAGACAATCATATCGATATATAATCCTATATATGTAGTAAAATTTTGACGTATTTTACTATAGCCAAAAATGCCATTTCACGTAATTGTTTTCATTAGTCGGAAAATCGGTTTCTAGCAATATCTCGGCATCTACTAATCAGATTTTAATAATTTTACTACCATTAGAATCAGAAAATGATGCTCTACAAGTTTACTTAAAAATCGAAGATATATTTACTTAGTAGAAAAATGACTTTACTTTGTTGTGAAGTGGCATTTGTGGCTTAGCAATTTTATATACACAGATCTGCGCGCCACAATTTACTATATATGGTTGCCTCATTCGAACAAGTTTTTAAAATCTTTACTATAAAAAAACCGTTATCGTTATCAAAGTGTATACGTATAGCAAGATAGAAATTCGTTTTGGTTAGATATTTGACAAAATATGTTACACGAGATTTTTATATTATTTTATTACAATAGAAAATTTTAATCAAAAAATAGCAATATCGAAATTTTATAATCAATGCCCCCTGAAATTTTATATGATGGTTTTTTGTATGCTTAGTTTTTATTTAAAAGCTCGAGATCAAGTGAGATCAAGTGTTCCACCAACTTTTACTAGAAGCTATCTAACAATACTACTATATAGTGCAATAATAATATTATGTTAACTTTTAAAGAGTAATAACTAATAAAAAATAATATTTTCTTTTGAATAAATGTTTCGAACTTCACAAGGAAAATTCTGAAATTAAAAAAAATCAATCGTTTCACGAAATACTATAAAAGTATCAGTGATGCAAATCTTTTAATTTTGGCCAATCAGAGCTTTTGATGATATATTGCGAAGCACGACGATCGGGTAACTTATTATAATACGTGATAACAGCATATCAGATATAATAGTGCAATTAAAGAAATTTTTACATGAAACCCTTTGACTTTAACGTGATTAGTTTTTCAACTCTTGCAACCAACAAAATGTCAAATTAAAAAGCCAAATACTATAAACATACCAAAGAAATCAGTGAAATTATTGCCAAAGAAGAAACTAATTAATTTATTGGCAGTATAATACTTTCTCGTTATTGAAAATTTCAAGAAACTGGTTAAAAAGATATTTTTGCATAGCCTATTAAGAATTTAATATAATCTATGAAATATTGTTGTTCGACCTATTAAGAATATTAAAATATATCATAATAATTTCGACCCAATAAGAATTAAAAAAAAAAAAGTTTTATAAAACATTTTTACAAACTATTAAAAAATTTCAAAAATTAAAATGAATTTTAAGAATTTCAGTTCTTTTAAGAATTTAAAAAAATTTATGCTACTTAGTAATTTGAATAACTAAATTAACCTTTTTTTAATTATTTGTAAAATAATTTCATTATCTGGCTGAGTAGCATTCAATAACGGTATTATCTGATTATTTTAACGACGACCGTAATCCTGAATAAACTTAATTTGAATTCGTCGATCTTGAGTATTTCGTTGTCTTGTGTAATGTAGCCTATATTTATACTGGTATAAAAAAAAAAAGTGAATAAATTGCATAATAATTGTAAACCAAATAAGAACGTTAACAGTAACTGTGGCCACGAAGTTACTGTGACTGCAAAGAACTTCCAGTTGCTTGATTTTATGCATCCTACAACGATTAATACCCGATTTCTGTTCACCCGACCCTCTTAAGAAGTAATTATCTTAATTAGAACACGAAAACAAAATACTTAATGAAATAGTAACTCCTAGGTCTCAATGCCTGTCACGAGTTGTGGCCGATGTGTTTCTATTGTCTTCAACCTCCGGTTAAAGAGTTGTAAATAAACACATACAATTAATAAGTAACTATTCAGTTACCATATCATAAACCATATATAATTTTTACTGATAAACTCACCAGAAAAGCAAGCTTCAGGTGAGTTTTTCCTTCCACTTGTTCCGCAGACGTGATTGCAGTGAAAACAACCTAGACATCTATGATACATTACCTTGTATGTATCGACAAGCCAACGTAGTGTTGAATAAAAACTATCAACATGTGAAAAGTGTAAAAAAAAACAAAAAAAAAATAACGAAAAAACCAAAGGGTATATCTTTTTGTATTGATTCGACGTAATTGCATCATTCACATGATCAGCTCAGCACCAATAGATTTCATCAAAACAAAAAAAGATCGACAAAATACCAAAACCAACGTACAGTACTTTTGTTTCTAAATAAAAAAGTTGTGCGTAAAGTTAAAGTCAAGAAAATGGCATTATAGTTAGGATTAGTATCAGACGAATTTAGCGTCTGCTAGTTAACAATTTAAAAAATTTACATAATAATTCTCGAAAAATAAATTAAGAAATAACATGCATTCAAATAAATCGGCATTTAAACAAGTACGTTTTCAGTCCTGAGATTCTCAGTATCACTAAAGAGTCGTTTACGTATTTATTAAAACGTCGATAAACCAAATTCTATATGAGATAAAAAGTTATTTATACATATACAAACTGCAATATATAATTTATTTATATATCACTGATGCTTCATTGTTATTAATCGAAGTATCAGATACTGTAAATGGATCATTTAAAGATTTATCTGTTATCCGATGTAAACGGATATCCAACAGAAAATCCGACGGATATTTTGAACGGATCCAAGCTCATTTCAAGACAGACAAAAAAGCAAAAAATGGTATATGATAGAGATTGGAACCGGTTTTAATAATTCAGGTTTATCACATGAATTTTAAAAATTTATCCAATTAAATTTTAATAATTTCTAAAAGGGAATTACTATTCGCACCATGGTAACTAACATTATGAAAATCCACTTACCCTAACTCTACCATGGTGCGAATAGCAAAATCTATGGTGCGAATAGCAGTTCTCTTTCTAAAATAACAAAATTCATGTGATAAACCAGAATTATTTAAGTTGTATATGACAGTAAAGATTTTTAAGTTCTTAAATGAATACCTTGAATAATAACAAACTTCAATTATTTCTTTATCGATAATCTCGTAATTTAAGTTTTATCGTTATGATAGTGCTCAAATTGTATTTTAAGCAGCGCTTACGTATGTGATTTTGGTAAACAAAACAAAGCGAAACGGCAAAGACAAAAACATGAAATAAAAGAAAACAGCTATCTAAGCCGGCCTTGGTTCACTAAATAAAAGTGTCAGGAATGCGATTTTGCTAAATATAAACACTCTTTATCAAAATCCTAACCCTAATATTAATTAATTCAAAATCGGGCAATTTCGTAAGGTGCCAAATTGAATATCAGTGGCTTAGCGGCTCAGCCAGCTTAAGTTTATGTTTTGCGCATCCAAAAACCCCATACCAGGATGCTTAGCTTCAATACCTTGATAAGCAAATGTTTCATTTTGCTCAGCAACAAATTTAACGCATTCAACTTACAAATATTTACCATTAAGTCATTTACTTTATTCATACTAATTGAGTGTTGACTATAAAAGATTATTAGTTCATTAATGCCATTGTTAAGTATATGAAAATTTACTATCACGTCTGCTAAATTTGTGGTCGAAAAAGGCATTTTCTACATAGTTAAAGTATTGAGTATTTTTCATCACGTGATATTATTGTATAATTTGTTGAGTTCGTAAATATTTACTTCGTTTGGTTCAGCTAATTAAGTACGTAGATAAGGCATTTAAGTATCAAGGTATTTGAAATATCTATGTCAAATAAGTCTGTGATCATTTACTTCATTTTTATTTAATTTGCAAAAAATAAAAATTTATGAACTGAGGTTTTTGAAACAAATTATTCAAGCTCGAGAATATTTACCATCAAATAATAGTTTATTTTAGACATACTGTAATTTTCGGTGAATAGTCTCCAGGCCTCTTACATTCCTAAGCCTTAAATTTACTATATTGACGTATTTTAACAAGGGGTACAAATAACAGTAAGTGTTGCAAGTGAAAATCTGTAACTGTTCGTTAAATGAAGTTACAGGTTTTCTCTTTGTAACACTTAAATGTAAAAACAATTAACCTATCAGCACTAATGATTGGACTTATACTGTATGCTATGCTAATGAACTTTGAAAATAAAGCTTTCATTTGCCAATCTGAGAATGAAATATATTTACCTTATGAGCAAAAATTTAAGACTTAATTTACTTGAGCAATTTAATTCAATCAAATGATTCATGATTCGGATTTTATGTCAATAACCTTAATTTTAATTATTAAAAAGTAAACGGCAAAACTGAATATATGAACATGCTTTAGTTTACTAATAAATAAATTTTTATGATTATTTTTTTTAAATAAGATATAAATCTAAAATATTCTAATTAAAAAAAAATTATAAAGTTTATTGTTTATGCTGAGTGATGGCTTCAAAAAAAAGATTACATATTCTATATTCTAATTAATGGCTTCGACAAATGTTTATTGTTTTGACTGAATAAAGCAAAACATGTAGCGGCTTTGAAAGCATATCATTACAAAAAATCAGATTTCTAGGTCAAGTACGATTTGATTGGCTGATCAGCAAGAAGTTTGATTGGCTAAAATTAAAATTCCTATAACTTGTGCACGTGATATTAGAATCTTTGAATCAAAAAAAACTAATGATTTTTACTAGGCGCTTCGTTCTAAAAATTAAAAAAATTTAATATACTGACTTCATGGATCCGACTGAATGTCAAGTTAAGTCTTTAAAGAACAATCTGACGAAATTTTTAAGCCATATTAATTATAAAAAAAGAAAATTTCTCCACTTTCAAGTTGAAATTTCTATTATAAACAATATAAAAAATGTGTAACAGTGTTTTTTTCAATAAAATAAACAACCGGTCATAACGAACTTTCTATGCTTAAATAGACTTTTTTTTTTGAAGCAAAAAACAAAACTCTTACCGTTCTTTGTAAACAAAGAAAATGCAGTTTGTAAAAATTTTACCAATTTTGTTGTTAATTGTTCAATTGACAATTGCTCTTCCCGCTGCTTTTCCTGAAGAGTTTAAAAGAGGTATTGAACAAGCAATCTTATCAATTTATTAAATTAACCAACTACTAATAATTTATATTAAATATACAAATTAAAATTATTAGATGGTATGTATAGAATTAATTTATCATTGAAACTTTACAATAATCTATAATTAATAAACCTTTTTATAATTAATTTAATTTAATAACCTTTATTAATTAATTATATCGATCTACAAATTAAATTATTAGAATGTGAGTTTGACAATAAATTATTTTAAATTTTATAATAAGGCCATACAAACTTAATTAATTGGTTTTCATAACCCGGCCGGGTCAAATTTTGAAAGCCTGTAAAAAAATTTTTTATATGTTTTAATAAACGGATGGGTTTTTTAAAAAAAAATTACAAAATTTTATAAAATTTATACGGTCAGACCTCTCTATAACCACACTTGTTATAAGCACATCATACAGGAAACTTCTTTATAAGCACGTCTTAATAAAATCTTTTTATAAGTACACAAATCTTTATCCCGAAATGTGATTATAGAGAGTTCTGACTGGATATGAAAATTTAAAAAAAAGTTGGCCAGCCGGGTCTGTTCAAAAGTTTCATGTTATGAAAACCAAGAGATTTAAATTTGTGTAGCCTAATCTATAATTAAATAAAATTTTCTCTACTCGATTATTTATAAATTAAAATTATTAGATAGTAAGTATAAATTAATTTTATAAATTAAAAAACTTTTATAATTTGCTAATCATATATATTATTAGTTTGTAAGTATTAGATTTGAATTTTATAATTTTCTATAATCGAATAAAATTTATCTGATCAATTATATCTAATTCAAATTGTTAGATCGTGAGTATAAATTATTTTACAAATTATAAACTTTATAATAATTTTTATTATTAAATAAAACCTTTTCTAATCAATTATAGTGGGTGAGTATGAAATTAATTCATAAATTAGAAATCTATAAATGAATAAAACTTTTCCAATCGATTACATATAATTAAATAATTAGGCGGTGAGTATGAGATTAATTTATGAATTTAAAATTTGTACAAAAAAATCTATAATTAAAGCTTTTTTTCGATCAATTATATATAAATTAAAAACTATTAGTTTGTGAGTATAATTATTTTATAAATTGAAAATTCTATGAACTTTTCTAATCAATTATGATAAATTATTAGATAGTAAGTATAAATCATTTTACAAATTGAAATTTTATATAATCATCTATATGTAAAAGTTCTCTAATCAATTATATACGTATGAATTACATTAACAGATGGTGAGTATAGAATTAATTCATAAAATTGGAAACTTTATATTAATCCATAATTAATAAAATAAAATTTCTCTAACAAATAATATAAATTTAATTACTATATTAGGTCGTAAGTAGATTAAAATTTTATAATAATCGATAATAAAACTTTTCTAATCAATTATATAAATTATAAATTATTAGCCGGTAAGCATAAAATTAATTTAAAACTTTTATTAATATAATAATACATAACTCAATAAAACTTTAATTAATTTATATAAATAATATTATTAGACTGTAAGTATAATTTACGAATTAACTTTATAACTGATGATAACCTATAATCTAAACTATTCTAATCAATTATATGCAAATTATTAGTATGTGAGTATAAATTATTTTACGCATTGAAGAATTTGTAATTGAATAAACTTTGTTAAATCAATTATATGAATAAAATTTATTAGGCCGTGAGTAATAGAATTAATTTATAAATTGAAAACGTTATATATCATTAAATAAAACTATTCTAATTATATATGAATTAAATTATTAGATGGTGGGTATAAAATTGATTAATAAATTTGAATCTTTACAATCAAAACTTTAACCAATTATTAATAAATTAAAATTATCAGAGGGTGAGCATAAATAGATTTGTAACTTAAAAACCTTATATAATTAAATAACCTTCGTTAATCAACTATATTCAAATTATATTATTAGACTGTGAGTATAAATTATTTTACAAGTCGAAATTTTATAATAATCTTATAACTATATAAAATTTTCTAATTAATTAGGTGGTAAGTATAAAACAATTTTATAAATTAATAATTTTAAAATTAATCGTAATCATATAAAAATTCTCCAATTAAATTATTAGTTGGTGAGTATAAATTAATTTGTAATTTGAAATTTTTATAGCAGTCTATAATTAAATAAAACTTCTCTAATACGACTAAATCATTAGCCAGTGAGTATAAAATTTAAAATCATTTCATAAAATGGAATAATAATCTATACTTAAACAAACCTTTTCTAATCAAAATTAAATTATTAGCCGGTAAGCATAAAATTAATTTACAAATTAAAAAGTTTATAATAACAATCTATAATTAAATAAAACTTATCTAATAAATTAAATTATTAGGCCGTGAGTATAAAATTTTATTCATAAATTGAAAATTTCATATTAAATAAAGCTTCTCTAATCAATTGTATACATATTAGATCGTGAGTAAAAATTATTTTATCAATTGAAAACTTTATAATGATCTATAATTAAATTAATCATATATCAATTAAATCACCATATTAGCTCGTAAGTATAAAATATTTTCAAATTGAACATTAATAAAACTTTAATCAATTATACATATCAAATTATTAGACAGTGAGTATAATTTATTTTACAAATTATCGTATTTCTTCGACATGTGTACTCCTGTACCGATTTTAAAGGTATTAAAACTCATATGGTATATCCCCTATGAATATCCTGGGTACTAAAACGAACATGGGGAATACCTCGGGTACACATATCGTAGAAGTACGGTAAACCTTTGATAATCTATAAGTAAATCAAATTTCTCTAATTAATTGTATATAAATTATCAGTGAGTAAGTATAAAATGAATGTTAAATCGAATAATTTATTATAATTAAAAAAATTGTCTAATCAATTATATACGATTAAATTATTAGAATGTGAGTATAAATGATTTTATAAAGTGAAAATTCATAGTTGAATAAACTCCTTTAATCAATTATATGTATAAATTTATTAGGTCGTAAGTATAACATTAATTTATAAATTATGTTTATCTTTATATAATTCAAAATTTTCTGATCGATTATTTATAAATTGAATAAGATGGTGAGTATAAAATCAATAAATTGGAATTTTAATAAATCTTTTCTAATTAATTATATAAAAACTATTAGATAGTAAGTATAAAACTGATTTATAAATTAAAATTTTATAATACTATAATCTATAATCAAATAACTTCTCTAATCAATTATATGTAAATTAAATTATTAGTCCGTAAGTATAAAACCATTTTACGATTTGAATTTTATAATTATCTATAATTAAATAAAACTTCTCGAATCAATTATATTCAAATTATTAGATGGTGGGTATAAGATTAATTTATAAATTAATACTCATAATTATCTATAACTTCTCTAATCGATTTTATACCATTAAAATTATTAGGGAGTAAGTATAAAGTTTATTTATAAGGTCATACAAAATTAATCAATTGGTTTTCATAACTTGGCCGGGCCAAATTTTTGAAAATTTTAAAAATATTGTTTTTTAATAGCCGAGCG